TTCTATTAAATTAACCATCAAACATCACATTGACAACATTGTTAAAGATTTGGTCATATGCAGGGGAATCGCATAAGATAATTGCCAATACATTTTCTCTAAAACAGTCTTATACACAGTCTCCTTTACTAACTTCCAATCATTAATTGATTATTGACTTCGAATCTAGTCCTTGATTTCTAATACCCAAAAAAATATTAAGGAAATTTCTAAAGCATCTGCTTCTAAACAAATTACCAAATTTACCATGAATAGACTGTCCTGGCTAGGGATTGCAATTGCTGGATCCAGCACATTCTTCGGCCTGCTGGATCTGCAAATACTCAATTAACTTTCTAAATAATGGTGCAAAAGTTTATGTTGTCGGCGTTGCCACTTTGCTATGTGTGCTATCACTCGGTGGCGAGAGTGATGTTGCTGTTCATTGCGGCATGCGCTACACCCCTCTCTACAATGCACTGCCAGCCCTTTTACCTCCACTGATCTATTTGCCAGTTAACTTTCCACTCTCGCTAAATAAAGTGTCTTCGTGCTAAATAAAATAACTAACTCCTCTCCTAGTCCTAGTGCTTAATTCTAATTTACGGTCAGTTGTGACGTCAATGAATCACATGACGGAACGATCACAGTTTAAGACTATGGGGAAATGCAGCCTTGCGGCTCGCTTCACTTGTCACTTTGGCTGCGAGACTATGTGCTGCTTTTGCGGCTTGTCCTGAAACCTAACCTATCCCTCTGGGAGATGACCGTCACTAGCTAATAGAAAACCTTTTATTTCAGCTGAATCAATATTTTACCGGAGATGAAAAATAAGAAAGTTTTCAGAGTTTTTTCTGGTGATTGCGCGATGATCGGGAGTTGCGTCGTTCTCTCTGCTAAGCCTATTGTGTGTTTAACAGGCAGTCCGGCAGATGTTGATGACAACATGCTCGCTATCACTTGCGGTTGGTTAGTAATACGCCATTAAGGAATGAGAAGCCCATCAAAATATAAACATCATTGTTGCCACTGACGGATCAAAAACCACCAACACCGTGACTGTGGCTTTCGTTAACTTAAAAAACAACATCATGGCCCACTTCTCTCTCCACCCTGAGGCCTACACTTGACAACAGAATACAACTTCTAAAAAAATCACCAATCAAAGATGATATGTTTTTGCAAAAATATGTAAAAGAAGCGAAGGGCAAAGAATTGAGTTTGATTCTTGACTGCCGCACCAGGTGGAACAGTCTCCTCAGCATGATGGAATGTTTCTACAGTGTAAAAGTTTGCATCGATAAAGCCTTAATAGACACTGGCTCAGACACTAAATTCTCCACTGACGAGTGGTCACTAATCAATGAGTTGATCACCAGTCTTCAACTAGTTAACTACTAGACTATTACTAATTACTTACTCACTACTTTACTAACACTAATAATTAAATTACTTATAAATAACTACAGACTGATATGTAGAGCCTATATAAGAAAACTGGTAAGACTGATAGCCACTTAGCCACTGATTATCTGTCCTTACATTATTATTATATAATATATTAATATAAATTAATTAGTAGAATTACCTTTCCTATTATTTAACTTAAAGATTACATTATAATTATAATCTAACTAAACATTTAAAGTTAATTATCTCTATCTCAAGTGTTAAACCAAACCAAAAAAAAACGTATAAGAAGTTTTACTGATTTATAGTGACTTCAGGGACGAACAGATCCTCAATAAAGTGTTATTTTAAATTTTAATTATTTTGGAATTCACTCATCTAACTTTGATCATTTTATCAAAAGTTAGGCTAAAATCCATAAAAATTGTTTCCCATGGATTTGCTTCCTTGTTGAGGATGATCTATCTAGTCATTAGTGTGTCATCCAGAACTTTTGATAAATTTCCAGTATTGGATGCCAGGCCGTTAACAACAGACTCCTGACCTCATGGAAAAACCCAGAAGCAACCCAAATAACAAGGGAAAGCAGTGACAAATCAAGTCAGTCATCCTCCCAAGTTTACCTCCCCAAGAGTTATTATCGTGCCAAATACTGTACCTCCACCAACCTTATCTTAAGGATATCGTACACACCTAAGTGCCTCAACACCAGTTGGATACCTCTCTCTGGAGCTGCTCCTGTTACCAGACACTCTAAATATCCAGAAAAATTTCATTGAATCTTGAACATTCCATTGACGGTGTGTCCAGTCATTGATCTTCGACTCAGTTATAAGGTATTTATCCACGCATGAGTCATTTGTAAACTCTCTCTCTCTCATGACAGTTAAATTTAAGAAAATAGGGATATGCATAAATCCAAGAACATATATCGTGTACTCCTGCCCACTAAAATAAATTTGTTATTGTTTATAAATCTGGAATCCGAGTGAATCACTTCCTCGTTTCTCTCTCCTCACCTCTACTCTGAATCCAACCACCTACCTGTGACCACTCGCGTGACATAAAGTTGCGATCTCCAAGTCCTGAGAGACTCGGTGGTGTCACATCCTGATGCGGTGTTGAAGAGACACCGACTCTATGGTCACAGCAACCAGTCTAAATAATAAAAGTTTGTTAAGTATTTTTTTAAAAATGTTTTATTTCTTTAAAAAAAAAAAGCCATAAATTGCTGGATAGATAGATAGATAACACTCTATTGCACCAAAAGTACATCCGTGCTGGATCCAGCTGGAATGATGTTGGTCCAGCAAAAACCCAGCTGGATTGAAAACACTGTTGGATTGCAATCCCTAGTTCTGACATTGTTTTTCCATATCTAGGCTTCCTGTGTTTAGAAGATTAAGTTGTAAACTTTGGCAGAATCCTTGCTTACAAATTTTTTAATTGTTTTATTTTCCCTTTTTATTTTAATATCCTAATATCTCATCTTTTGTTTTTATCTTCCATTTTTTAGACTTAATAGCCCAAAAATCATCTTTTTTTACATTTATCAAAAAACACTGATAGAGTTAAAAGGAATTTTATAAGAATGACCTATTATATTTAGACTTTGGTAAATTTAAACAGTAGTGTAGAAAAATACAATATGTATTAGAATTCATTATTAATGTTGTTTTATTTTAATGTTTTTATTTTGGGATAGTTTGGAAAGGTTCATATTGCCTAAATGTCATCTCCTTTCTAATACTTTGTAGATAAAGTATACGGGTTCTGATGCTAAAAGAAATGTTAACAGTTTGATGTTTAATATTTTATTATTTATTTAATATTGTGTGATAGCACAAATATTGAAATATTAATTGAGTTAAAGTGCAAGAAACACTAATAATATATGTAAATGAAGTTTACTAATTAACTTTTAAATTGATAAGGAAAGTGAAAATACTGTGAGAAAAAGCAGGGATCTACAGAATTCCTATTGTTAACATAGAAGTAAGCAAAAGTTTGAAGAAATAAGGATTACTGAGAATACCAAACATACAAAATTACTAAATATAGATATATAGTTAAGAAAAAAAAGTTAGTTTGTAGAATTTTTCTCTGGAATGAGATAATGTTATTTGTAACTTTTATACAAAATCATAAATTTTTATTTTAGTTATTCAATAATATATTGAATATATTAACTTAAATTTGTTATCAGAAGTACTGTATAAAAATAGTTGAACATTAATATGAAAAAAAGAAGAGATTTTACTCTATAATATAGTTTAAAAAATGAGAGGGAAAAGTCTTTTGTGATGTTTTATGAATTTGTCTTGATAATTTTAAACTTATAATACATTAGATAAAATAATTTCAACTAACAGGTTTGTTATTTTAACTTAAATCTTTTGTGACCAGAGGGTTGGCACCTCTTTGATGTCATGTCTCTACTGTGTCCCATCTTCCAGACACAGAAGTTGCGATGGCTGTTTAATTTCATTCGAATTTGTTACATGAGTAGTTGCATGCATAGATGATTGAATTTGGGATTGAGGAGTGTGAGACAGCATGTTGGAAACAAGACACTTGGATACTAGGTTAACAAAACAAATACCATTTATTTTTTGTTATATGATCTACATGCTAACAGTAGCAAACAAATAGATATTAGATACTAGAGAGATATCGAAGCATTCGTGAAAGAGAGAGTTTACATGAAATCGCATGTTGTTATAAATACTTGGAGATAGAACTTTGTGTATGGGATGATCATTCCATTGGCAGAAAGGTTGACAATCAAGATCCAGCACTATGGGGACAGTGCGAAGAAAGCGTTGAAATTTCTTGTCCTGGAGTGAATGATATTCCTTTATTGGAGATTCCTTTTTCAGAAGAGATGATGATATTCCTTAGTACTTTCCGGTTTGCAGGGTGCCAGTCAATTGATGCAATCCAACTCGCATGTATTAAATTGATAATTAGTTCAGAGAGGATTTCCCAAAATGGGTAGGTTAGGTTTAGGTTTTGGGTTTAGGTTAGAGTTAGATCACATCAATTGACTGTCACCCTGCTAATCAATAAGTACCTATTCCTCTATTGGAAGAAGTGATGATTGGACTATCTCATTGGAGGAGTAGGCAGTGACTTAACTATTGAGGAACTGGTGACAACTGCCTGAACTGGCTGCTATTCATCATATTAAAACTGTAAAACATGGCCAGGAGGGCAGAAGGTTGCAGGAAAGCATCTCTGTCAGTGTTGAGAACACGTAAGATGAGACGTTCTCAGGTAGAAAAGTTGATAATTATCACTGCTGACAATATCATATTGAATAACTTTTCCCTTTTTGTTGTTTAAACTTTTGTTCATGAAGCCCGAGTTCTCACACTTTTATACTCTGTTTATAGCTTTTCTTTGAATTGAGTAACTTTATTATTCAAGTGTTATTGTATAAAATGCTTTTATTTGTAAGTTATAAAATTATTTTTTTTTTTTATAAAACTTCAATCATTTATGTAATATTTTTGAAAAATACTTTAAAATTATTAATTTTATTTGCTTTATATAATTATTTAGTATTTTTTGGTTATTTATTTATTTAAACATATTTCAAATTATTTCAGGTTGGGTGGACCTGATCCTTTAGATTACATTAGTATGTATGCAAACCCAGGGATTCCAGACAAAGGAATAAAACCACATTGGCATTATATTAGTTTTGGGTTGTCTGATCTTTATGGAGATGGAAGAGTTCATGAGTTTGTAAAATTTTAATTTATTCCAAAAATTATTTAATATAAATTATAAGCTATTACTGAAACTAATATCCAATCTTTTGAAACTTGGCTATATTGTTATTTATTGGAGAGCTTAATAAAAAGACAGCATAACAATGTTATGAGTACTTTCAAGTTTCTTGGTTTATCTTTAGAGATATATATGCATAAATTAACACTAAAAATTTGATTAAATTTGAAAAAGTTTAATGTTTAAACTATAGAATTTGGAGAAAACAGTGTTCCGAGTACTTGAACCAAAAGTCTTGAAAGTACTGAGGACATTGTTTTGCTGTTTTTTTTATTACTAACATTAAGCTTTCCAATAAAGAAGAATATAGTTCTTTACATTTTATATAGCTTAAAATAAGTTATTGCAATAAATTTAAATTATTGTTCTTACTTTACTTCCATAAAACTTAAAGAATTAGAATATTTTTCATTTGAATAAATTTTTAAAGTTAAGCAAGGAAACAATTTTTCCTAAATTTTAATAAGTGATTATAATTTAAAATAATATGAAAATTTTTCACAATTTTAATTATTTTTATTAACCAATAAATGTAAGATAAACAAATATGACATATGAGAATATTTTGCATATTAAGAATGACTGAGTGACAAACTGGATTCTGTTTTACAAAGTAGCAATACCTTGATTTTTCAGCAACAAAAATTTTCTTTTAATAGCATATATTAATGTGTTTGGTTATTTTAAATGATCTTCGTGCACTCTCAAAAATAATAGATCATCGTATTTAGAACATATAACACAGAATGCATGGTTTATAATTACAAATGAAAGGACATAAATTTTCCAAACTTTCAAACTCCACTATTACAGAATTTTTAGAATGTAAAAGTTTTAAACTGACAGTTATAGGGAAAAAAGAAAAACAAACACATTTATATTAACATAAATATATAAAGATTACATCANTAAAGTTAAGCAAGGAAACAATTTTTCCTAAATTTTAATAAGTGATTATAATTTAAAATAATATGAAAATTTTTCACAATTTTAATTATTTTTATTAACCAATAAATGTAAGATAAACAAATATGACATATGAGAATATTTTGCATATTAAGAATGACTGAGTGACAAACTGGATTCTGTTTTACAAAGTAGCAATACCTTGATTTTTCAGCAACAAAAATTTTCTTTTAATAGCATATATTAATGTGTTTGGTTATTTTAAATGATCTTCGTGCACTCTCAAAAATAATAGATCATCGTATTTAGAACATATAACACAGAATGCATGGTTTATAATTACAAATGAAAGGACATAAATTTTCCAAACTTTCAAACTCCACTATTACAGAATTTTTAGAATGTAAAAGTTTTAAACTGACAGTTATAGGGAAAAAAGAAAAACAAACACATTTATATTAACATAAATATATAAAGATTACATCAATATATTTTTAATCCATAATCATAATATAAATTTAATAGCATTAACAAGTATAGACATACATGGCTGCTGCTCATTGGTTAAGCATCTCATATAGGCCATGTTTCTTTATGTAGTGAGTGTGTAGCAAAAATGACGTCATGAACAGCTATCACTACATGTTGCTGCATCATAGTTTAGAAACGCTTTCCACTCGAGCAAAACATGGATGCTATAATCTATCCTTTAATTCCAGTTACAGCCGAAAGTAGTTCTTTAGTTAAATAACTACAATATTTAAATAAAGAGATATAAAGAATTGAGCAGTTATCTTTCCACAAATGTGAACAAAGTAAAGAGATAGAAGATACATAGTTATATTTAAAATATAGTATTTTCTTATTCTTTAGATAATTTTCAGGGTCATTTTATAAAATTTAATCCTTCTTAATCTTTCCATAATATTTTTATTAACAGTCACTTTGATTTTTTATTTTTACAGGGTAATATTGTATTATACACACAAGTGTCCATTTTGCTTTACACGTGTAGTGGACGTAAAAGCTGCTTTATCTTCGCTGCAGCGACCTCTTGCAGCAAACGTTTAGAAACGGTTCGCGACATTTCAGCGCTGCGTTTAGAAACGGGTTTCAGAGTGTTTGCTGTAAAGTGCTTTTCGAGCGCTGCATAAAGAAACGCAGACATAATGATTTCCATATGTCTGAAGTAGTTTCTTCATCTTAGAAGTTCATACACTTAGCTTGTCTAGCTGATTTATTTTCTAACACAGTGTTTCTCAACCTCTAACAAATTGTTGCCTCCTTCAATAAAACCGTTACGTAGTATCTCCCCCTTCACTTTAAAATTCCAATGCCAAGGGCCAAGGCTAACGCCAAATTCGTACTGCATCAAATAGATTAGTGACTAGTATTTATTATTAGTATTATTTGTTTAATTATTGTACGATATAACAAATAAAATATCTAATTATTCTTAATATAATGTTTTACTATATCGCCCAGAAAATTGTTTTTTGCCCCCAAAATATAAATTGTTACTAATCGCCCCTCAACATGGAAAAACGTCCACATGGGGATGATATCGCCCCATTGAGAAACACTGTTCTAACATATCTAAACTTTTTAAATTCCTCATGTTGCACAATGTTTGTAATGTTCTATTGAATATAATGCTATGTTCTATTTAAAGTTTGAAGGCTTGAAAAATTTATGGTCTTTTAATTTTGAATATTTTGACCATGTATTCTGTGTTATAGATTCTAAGTATGATTTATTTTTATTTTGAAATTGTCTGAAGATGGGCATTTAAAATGACAAAAATGTTAATGTAAGTTATTAAAAGAAAATATTTGTTGCTGGAAAATTAATGTGATGATATCTTTTCACATATTAAGTTTGCATATTTAAAATTTTATTTAAATACCTATTGATGAAAATCATAATTATTAATGTTTAGATAATATAAAAAGAGATGTGAAAAGACTCTTATGGAGGAAATATGAATGAAACAGTTATATATTTAAATATATTTTATCATTGTTGTTGACTTTACAATTAAAAATTTTAAAAATGAATTTTAATTGAAATGTATATTTTCATGTAATTTATATGGTACTTTAAAGTATTTTTTAAATTTCATACTGATAATTTTCCTATTCTTGAATAACTCTTATTGTAATCAAAATTAAAACAATGAAATTGATAATATCATAATTAAAATATATTTAATTTTGATTGTTAAAATCTAGTCTGACTGCTTCAGAAAATATTTAAAGTTAAACTCAATACATATTTATTTCTTAGTTAAATATTTTTATCTATTAATAATTGCAAAGTTTACATTTTGTTTTATTGTATTCATTATTGAAGAGATTGGTTTTTTTGTTAAAATTATAATGAAGTGAAAAAGTGTTAAATTTTGGTTATTGCAGTTGTTATGCTTTTTTCTATAGAAAAGAAATGTAAAGTTAATTTTATGGATTTGAAATTTCAGTGTTTCTGGAGCTGATACACCAAGTGGATTTGGATTTGAATTAACTTTTCGCTTACAACGAGAGCCAAAAGAGACCGCTCCACCTACATGGCCTGCTGCTATTATGCAAGCGTTGGCAAAATATGTTTTTCAGTCAGGTATATTTTCAGATGATTAAATTAAAAATGCTTTTTGCTCTTAAAGCATGTTTAGAAACTTTTGTTTTATATTAAAATTTTTATATAATAATTAATTTTAGTGTAACTGTTATATTTCAATTAGTTATTTTAATCTGTCTCCAAAATATAGAAAATACACTATGTGCTGGTGATCATGTTTCCTGGCATTGTTCATTAGACAATAGTGAATCTCGAATTCAACATATGTTAATGACTGAAGATCCTCAACTAGGAACAGTAATGACGCCATTTGGACTTGTTACATTTGTGCAGGTTGCTATTTTTAAATATAAAATAATTAACATATTCTTAAATATGATTGCTCTTCAGAGTTAATTAATTAATTAATGTTATCTGCAGATTGTTGGTGTTTGTTCAGAAGAACTTCAAGCAGCTCAAGGATGGAATGGACCTGGAATTATTGAAGTGATGAAAAGTGTGCCTGGAGCTGGTGGACCATGGTTAATTACAGACATGAGAAGGGGTGAAAATATTTTTGAATTAGATCCAAATGTACAGGTAATAAAATGAATAAATAAATAAATAAATGTTAAAAATAAATAAAGTAAAATAATTTTATTGTATAATTTTAAAATAATATATAGATAGTCTATGGTCAAGATGTTTTTGTTCAAATATATTTGATTAATATGGACAATCTCTATATTACGTTATTATTTTTCATAGTAATGTGATTCCAAATAAGGTTAATCAAACTTTCCGTACAGAACACAAGTAGTAGTGTGTAGTTCATGAAATATATTTATTGCATTAACTAACCTGTACATATATATTTTGTGCAAAAGTTAAACTTCACAATAAGTAAAATATTTTACAGTTATGTCAGAAATTTCAATGATTTAGTTGTAAAACTAAAATGTGTATAAAATTTAATTTTATCCTCCACAAACTGGCTGCATTATATATCATATCATTGAACACATCATCAAGCCTAAATTTTCCACCAGTAACAAAATTAGGGCCAGTATCATACTGTATCCTGTGCATTCATTCTAACTTCCAGAAAAGCGGAACCAAAAAAAAACTTGTATGTTAAGTTGCAATGTGCAGTCACTTCAAAAAGTTAAGAATAATTTAACTTTATCACAAAGTTCCAATCCTTAAATGACAATAACTAGGTAAAATAAAAAATGAAAAAATTAAATAAGGGGATATTTAGCTATCTTTTAGTATATTTTCATTTAAAACAAGTAATTTCTAAATAAAGTGTTAAAAACTCATAAATTTTTACTTAAGTGAATGATGATCAAAAAATTTCGAATGATATGAAATAAATTAATAAATATTGGCCACTTATAAGTAATAGTGCTTGTAACTTACTTCAATTAAGTAAATTTTATCACAATATAATTTGCATATAATATTGTATAAATTAGACTTGAGAGATTGTCACAAAAGCAGAATAAACATCATTGGCAAGAAACCATAATAAGCTTGGATCAAAGAACCAAAATTATTATGAAGAAAATACTAAGCAACAATAAATAGCAAGGAAAGTAAACTGTTTACAGTTTACAGTGCAAAAAATAATTAAAAAATTTGATGAAAATGGAAGTTTAAATGCTGAAAAACTGCTGTTGTAATCCAATATTATTTCAAAAAAGAACAGAAATCAGCACTTAGAAAAATTGTAAAACAAAATAAACATGCAAGCTTGCAATAGAAGTCACAAGAATTGAAGTCTGTAATTGAAAAACCAGTTTCAAAAACAACAGTTTACAATTATTTGAAGAAGTTGGGTTATAAAATGGCCAAACTAAAAAAGAATCCTTGTCTGACAAACGTTCAAAAGAAAAAATTATTGACCTGGGCCAAAAAATGTGTGTTTTACACCTGAACAATGGCAAAAAGTCATCTTTAGTGACAAAAGTATTTTTTGTGTTAATTTAAATAATGGAGGACAAGTTTGACATTTGAAATGTGGAACCAACAATCCAGATTGTTTGCAGTGAGTCATTAAATTTCCTACTGATTTATGGTGTGGGGTTTAATTGACTATAATAGATTTGGAAAATTGTGTTTTCTTAATGAGACAGTAAATGATGTGTATTATGATATTTTAGAATATTTCCTTGCCCCAACAATGGAAGATCATTTTCTAGATGATGATATAATCTTTAAATAGGGTGAAGCTAAACCATATATGCAAAAAAGTCAAAGAATGTTTAACAGAAAAAATTATATTTCTGTTTACTGTCAAAATTTATTTAAAAAGTCAAAGAATAATTTATATCTAAAAAAAAATAAAGCTCTTGAATTGGCTTAAAATTCACCAGACTTGCCTCCAATTGAAAATATTTTGTCAATTTGTAAAAAACAACTGCAAGAATCTAACCCAACCAATAAAAAAGATTTAAAAGAAAAACTTACAAAACTTTCATCTGAAATTGGTCTTGATACAATGTCAATCACTTGTTGATAGTATGCTAAAAAGAATAAAATCTGTAATTCATAATAAAGGAGATATAACTAACTATTAGAATAAAAAAATATATAAAGTTTTCGATTATCATTCACTTAAATTTTGACTTTTTAACACTATTTAGAAATTAATTTTTTTACATGAAAGTGTAGTTAAAAGACCAGATTAAATATCTCCTTATTTAATTTTTTCAAAATTTTTTTATTTCATTTAGTTATTGTCATAGAGTTAACTTAAATTATTCTAAACTTTTCGAACTGGATGTAAGTAGAATAATCACAACACTGGGTTTACAGAGAATTTGTAGCCATGTATCAATGTGTCAAATTTGTCAAGATTATATCTTACAAGGAGACCCTACGGCTTTGGGGAAACGGATTTTGATGATCTTTTGTGTAGAGGTAGTACACCATGTGAGTGTACTACCTGTAAAATACTAAAGTGCAATACTCAAATATAATCAAGAAAAACAAACTTAAAGTTTTTTTTAGCACTTTATATATAAATTATACATACTTTCATTTGAGTGTCCTGTGGCTGAGTGGTAATGATCCTGACTTTTACGCTTGAGTTCCCAGGTTCGATTCTCATGTATACCTTTTTTTTTAACTCATAAATACTTATAATGTATTTATTTATTTACTCACTTATTTATTTCTTATTATTTATTTATTTTAATTTAATTTCTACTATTCCAAGTCTAATATTTTTTTACTTTTGTTGACAATAACGGCACATTCTTGACACCTATGTGTCAACTTTCCCATCTAATTGTTATCACTAATGGTGACCAATCTAATTCTCACTAGGAGCGTTTTTTTTCTATCAGAGTTCTTTTTCACTCACTCTTTAAAGTTCGTTTCTGAATTTTGACTCGAATAGACATATTTGTGCAGTGAAATTTATTTTGAATAATTATTTTATAATTAAAAAAATGTCATCAAGAGAAGTAAGTTCTTCACATTGTGACGAAAAAACTGTTGATGATAACTCTTTATACGGTGATGTTTCGAAACAGCGGCTAAAAGATGGAGTAGTGTATTATGAGAGTTTACTTTTCGACTGTAATTTAATTGCAACATTTATAAATTTTTTTCATTCAACACATCCAATGTATTATTGTATAATTCTGTGCCTATCAGCATAGCATTTTCAGATAGTGTATCAGAAGACGTTATTACAATTAAATTATTTTCGAAAAGTAAACTCTCATAATACACTGCTCCATNGGAGACTCGAGAGACTCTACTATGTCATCCAAATGAAGTAGAACTAATTCTTCTGCATCAAACAAGAAAAGAAAAACTTTATCTTTGGAATGTAAAGTTAACATTGGGTATGTTCGTAAAGTTGAACGAGTTAAGTGAGAATAAAGTCATCGTTATTCCTATTTCGTTAGACTTTTCGAACGATTCGTTACTAATGCGTTTAACTCGTTTGACTTTACGAACGTACCCATTATTAAAGACTTTGATACAAAAATGAAAATTTGTGAATTGGCAAAGAAGTTTGATCTACCAGAATTGTCGGTCAGAACAATTATAAAAGGCAAATAAAAAATTCTCGAAGCTGTGAAAAATGCTCAATCTTTAAATTCAAGCATCATTCGTAAATGTCACAGTATTATCGCTGAGATGGAAACAATGTTAAAATTATGGCGTAATAAGCAAGTAAATGTGAAAATTGTAAAAAAATATAGGCCTAATTTGTTATACATATGTATTATCTAAGATTTTATTAAACATTTTTTCTAAATTATTGTTTTCTTTAGTCTCCAGCCCCAATTAAAAACTATTTGTATGTATTTATATGCGAAATTATACCTCAACTTACGTGAATTTGACTTACACGGTTACCGCTCTGTCCCACCTATTGCGTAAGTTCGGGGTATTACTGTAATTTAATTGCAACATTTATAAATTTTTTTCATTCAACACATCCAATGTATTATTGTATAATTCTGTGCCTATCAGCATAGCATTTTCAGATAGTGTATCAGAAGGCATTATTGCAATTAAATTATTTTCATTTGTCTGATTTCATCATTTTATGGAACATGTTTTTCTCCTAATAACACTTCTCTTTTTTATCCACTATAGTATCGCATTATATGTTAAGATAGTGACAAGTTTTTTTCCATTCACAGTAAATCCTACCTTCCTTCATACTTTTGAATAGGAATATTCCTATTATTTTCTGTGGTGGAAGTAATATTTTTCCTCTCTTGTGGTCCTGAAGAAGCTTGGATATTTGTTGAAGCACATGATATGTTTAGATCTGGAGTAAACTTAATTTTTAAATGCACATGGTATCTTTTGAAACTTAATACTGATTTCAATGTCTTATAACACAGCATATGGTTAACTTTTCCTAGTCCAACAATCATCACTTGGTGGGCCTAGTAATGTAGATTTCAATTCCATGCCTAATAATCTTTTTATCAATTCCTTTTCTCTATTTTTTAAAAAATCTGATGTGCTTCCAAAAAGAATTCTGCCATTTTAAAGTATTGTAATTATGTTAATTATTATCTAAGAATGTTATAATGTACAATAAAACATTGGAAAACTGTACAAGTTTCATATTCACCCATTACAATTTCTCAGTGTGTGCAACTTATGTCACTTGACACACATTTGACTGATACTCAAATTCTTCCTAAACTCACTACAGTTTATATTCATTGTCATACCTCCCACAGCAGCCACAATTCAGCTGCAGATTACTCATGTTACACAATGATGAATAATTTCAACTTTGTGAACTACAGAACACAAAACACCTCTGCTGCAGAGTTACTATTTTCATTTATTGCACTTCCTAGAGATAATAGACGAAGACATTTTAATGTAGATGGGAGATGAAACTCAAACAGTTACTTTATCAATTAGTGTACATTGCTTAATTCTCATACTTCTCCTCAGGTAATAATTAACATAATTAATACAACTTTAAATTATTGTATTCATTTTGGAAGACTGTGTGTATAATTTGTATATAATTATTTTTATATTATTTTATGTAAATTATTATTATTTGTATTACTTATTATTTTTTGTTTATTATTAATTATTATATTATATTTTTGATTTTCTTTACTACAATCATAAAGAAATTATTCATGATTATATTGAAATTTATTAAAATGGCTTTATATTATGAATGGATTATTTAGGAGACAGTAGATAAAGGTATTGAAACAGAAGGATCAAATTTAAGTGGAGTAAGTGCTCGATGCCAATGGTCAGAGAAAAGATCCTTAACTAAAGATTCAATTCGACAAGGAAATATTGAAAGTGATGTAGAGCCTTCCATTCCACAAATTTCAGAACTAGGTAAATCAAATTTATTATCTCTGATATAATTATTAAAAACTGATTTTAAACCAAAACATTAGAAAAAAGACTAATACTTAAAAATCAAAAAATTATTAACTAGAATTGTTTGATATAATAGATTATGCAATTTAACTTCTTGTATTAAATATTTTGAAACGTTTTTCTGTTCTATTAGATATTAAAGTTAAATTTATGAGCAAGATATTATTTATATACAATCATAGTTTAACTTAAAAGATTAATTATTACATATACAAAGGAATAGGTTTATAAATTAAAAATTTAAGATGATAGCATTCTATTTGAACAGCAAAATGTTTCTAAATTTCTTATTACTTTATAAAAAATGTGAGCATAATAGTATGTTTTCTTGTTTTATTGCGATTAATATGAATTTTTTTTATATTAAATATAAAATTATTATTAAAATAAAAACTACAAATTTCATTTTAAAAAATATATTTCTAGAATCAGAACAAATCAAAGCAACACTAAGGAAAGGATTATTAAATACAAAACGTGTCTTACCCCCGATAAAATCAACAAATAGGAATTCAGAAGTATCATCAGTCATTGATCAGTAAGCATTTACAACTACTGTATATCTAAGATTAGCATAAATTTTTAAAATAATGTTTCCAAATTATAGAAATGAAAATAACTCAAGAAAAGAATCGTTTAGTAGTAATGCATGTAGTGAAATGGCTGCTCTAGAAAGTAATGAACTTCTTTCAACGAAGACATTAGAATCAGTGCATTTACAATTTAATTTAGAAGCTGGAACATTATTACCATTAGCCTTAAGGTGACTTTATTTAAATACAAGTAAGATAAATATTAAACAACAAATATTAATTTAAAAGTTTTACTTTTAGGGGAAGACTCAAACATGGTCGCCATTTTACATTTAAAAGTGTGGAAGGGGATGTTGCAATTACTCTTGTTGCTCCAAGTGTAGTTGGTGCTTTTGTTGATGCAGAACATCCATATGCTGCTCATGGACCATGGCTTCAAGTAAGATTTAAATTAAAATGCATGATTACAAATTAAAAGAAATATCAGCAATTTAATGCAAATAATAATTAAAATAACTAGTGTTTAAAATTTAAAGAACTTGTTAAAACTGACTATGATTTTATGTTATCAGCCATATATTGAGGCTGATAATGTAAAGGAGAACTTAATAATACCTATTTACCAAAAGATAATTATAATTTAGTTAAATTATAAATGAAGTTTATATGTTTTGGAACATGCTAATTCTGATAACTGTCAGGATCAAATGCTTTAAATTAAAAATGTTTATTTAGAATTACAGATTGCATGTGTGCTTTAAAAAGTGGGAAGCATGTGATATCATTCAAAAAAGGAGTTTGAATCTACTTATAAAAAGCTTCATGGCCTTTGATTATTATGTTTTTCTCTTCTATCAATGTAACTATCAATTTGACTATTAATGAGGACTTATTCCACCACAATCAAAAAAGTGACCAGATTAGAACTGTATTTTTTAATTAAATCCAAAATGTACATTTTGGGTCTGTTGAACCCTCTTCATCTTTTATTTGTGTGATAAGTCCTCATTAATGGCCAAATGGATAACTATATTGATAGAAGTTGAAATTTACTTTCATATAGATTGGATACTTTGTAGATAAAACAGATAGATGATGATAATTTAAATTAGTATTGCTAAATTATCTGAGAAGTTTATACAGGATGAACAAATGAAAAGTTTCCTTTGACTTTGTGATAATGAAGAGAAGTCAAATACAGTGAAACCTCAGTTTTCCTAAAAGTTATTTGAAAACCACTTTGTTCTAAAACCAAAACATATTTTCCCATAAGAAATAATATAAAATGGATTAATCTGTTTTTGATCCCCAAAACAAAGTATTAATTTTACTTTTTTAGCTTATCTCATGGATAAAAATGCCTACTGTATCTATATCTATAAAAATTAAATGTATATCTATTTTATATATATATATAAAGCAAAAGGTTCCTTCACCGCAACATTCTTTAACACAGGAACGCTAGAAAGCTGACCTCTGTGGACAGTTCTTGCCGAGTAGTTTGTTCAGCAACTGGGGCAAATAGGGCATTCAAAATTTTGTTCATAAACAGAGGCATTCGAAATCTGAGGTTTCACTGTATTGTCTTTAGGTGCATGTAAATTAAATTTTTAAACTAAGTGTTTATTATAACATGTAATAGGGCAATAACAAGCATGGCAAGCTTTTATCATCCTTGCAAGTAAACTTTTCATTTAGTTACTCAGTATGATTAGAAATTTCTTAGATTTTTATAACCAATATCAAGATTTTTAAAGATATATTAAATCTTATTACATTAAATCTTATTATATTAAATCTGTAATAATAATTGATGAGAGTTATTCCTCAACTTTGAGAATCTTTCAATAACCATACGTTGATGATTTAAATTGCTAAACAAAAACTCAAATTTTTTGTTTTAAATATTGTTACATACTAATGAAAATTAGTATGTAACAATATGGTTATTTTTCTATTAAACATTTGATGTATCTTTAATTGTAATTTGTTTTTATTTTGTTAGAAGGGGCATTAAGTAGCAATATTCAATAACCTATTAGTAATGGAACTAATTAAATTTATGAACTATAAATTCAACAAAAATATTTCATAAAATATAGGTTTGTTATTTTAAAAATTGTGAAAATTATTTTCAGATCTTGTTGACAGAAGATACAATTGAACAGATCCTTCAAGATTTAACAGAACTATCACAGCCAGATTCTGTAAGTTTAGCTGATTATTTTATATAGTTTTAATAATAAAAAAAAAATGAAATCAAAATATTATATTAGAATGATAATTCTTTCATTGTTTTTTTAGTAAGTTGAATACAATAAAATTAATATTTTATATTGCAATTCAGTAAAATAAAATTAAATATTTTTATTTTTATTTTGAGAAGAGTAAATTGCTAACATTAAACTGAATAACAACATTTACTTTTTGATATCTGTAATTTGTTTGAGAAAAATCAGTCATTCTTTAGAGAAACATTAACTAGGAGCCTATTTCCTATTATTTTAAGTGGAAAAACTATAATGGAAATATAATTTAATATCAATATTAATGTCAATCACACTTATATACAGGCATTTATGTATTTTACATCCTTATAATATAAACATTACTTTCAGATCACCAAACAGTTGCTTTGTTTGTACTAACACATATAATCAGTATGACATATCGTAAAGATATAATGATATTTATTTGCAAAGGTTTATCAGAAATATATACTGTATTTTAGAACTGCTGTGCCTATTTACTTTTCCCTCTTATATAAATGTAGTTTTATTAATTTTTTTAGTTCAGTTTTATTAATATTTGTTAAATATTAAACTCTCTATAATTAAAATAATACTGTGAATTCTTGAAGTTATCCTAAACTGATTGCTTTTCTTTCTTGCAGCTGGTGTTGCCAAAGACATTTTCATGGCCTGATAAGAAGTTATCAATAACTTTACTTCAGGAAGGTTATTGATGGTTGTCTTCTATTCATTAGTCTACTTTTATAAATTACAATAATGTACAGAAGTATTTATCTTCATATTTTTACATAAGAAAATTGTTACAAAATATGAAGTTTTAAAAGATGAAGTTTTTTTTAATTGTCCAGAAACAATTAAAACTTTCTGCAAAAGAGTATTTGTGCATGGTATAACTTTTGTGCTTGGTTTAAATTCATTCATAATATTGGTTAAGAATTTTAAGACAAAGAAATGAAATTGTTATACAAAATGCAAATGTGATTTTTTAAATCCATGTTTTCTAATTAGCATTATTATAAAGCAACAAATATAAACATCCATTAACCTAATTTTTAGATTAATGTCAAACAATTGCCAGATTACATCAGCTACAATAATGCTACTAATTACTAATTAAATATCAAGTAATTTGGTCTAGAGATAGGCTTTAGTAGTTAATAATTATAATTAAATTATTATTTTAATAATTAATTTAGAAGGTTCTGGAAGAAAAGAATCTGCCTCAAGCAGGACTGCAACTCCTGCTTACCATGTGGGTTCAAGTTCCACTTTGGGCTAATTCTTTTCTTCCAGAATCTTCTAAATTATTAAAATAGTGCCTAATTATAATTAAATTAATAACTCTTGATAAATTTAATAATGCCTACTTCTACTGGATTAATGGATTACTGGACATTTAATTAGTAATTAGTAGCATTATTATTAAACACAGGATGATCAAATGAAAAATCTTACAAGCAGTACAAGGAGTTGGTGGCAGTGAAGGTCAGACTAGAGAATGTTATGAGATGGTCTCGCTTGTTGTATCATCAAGTGTGACTCAGTATTTCTATACTTAACTTCTCATGTTACTTGATCATCCAGTACATGTAATATAGATAAATGAAAAGAGAAAATTATCAATTCCTATCATTAATTGTAAAAAAATAAAGTTACTGTTTGAATAGTATATAATTGATGTTTATTGTATAAAATTTCCATTAAAAAGTTAATTTATAGGCATAGTATTAAATTTATGTTACATGGCTTCAGCAGTTTTATTTACAACATTAAAATAAAATGTCTAATGATTAGTTTCTATTCAAAACTAAAGTATAGTCTTACTTTGTAATTTTACTAAAGTTTTTATTTTTAAATATAAACAAATCTATTAAGCTTTATTAAGCATGCATTTATAGTTAATTATCAATATAAATTACTGTAAAAAAGAAATTTCTCTGTTCAAGAAAAAATTGTATTCAAAGAAAAATATAATTAGTCTTTAATTAAGCACAGTCAAATTCATTGAATAGCTCATTTCACCTGAAATGTTTTAAATTTAAATTAAAAAATTTGTAGTTAAAATTTACAAACCATTCAATGATGATGGTAAATTATTATATAATAGATTATTACACAAAGTTTCCTAGTTCTATTTGTAATATATGTATTTATGAAAAGATTTTATATGGATAAGGATAAAATGAAATTGAATTCTTGAAAATACTTTCTATATTTATTGAAAATATATTTCTTGACATATTTTTAAGCATAAAAAATTTAATATTGTAATTTGGTAACATCCAATGTAACATTTTAAAAACAGAATGTATTTTCACTTTTATAAGAGACCAATATTTTGATGAATGGAAAATTCAAGTATGGCAACTTTGCTTAAAGCATTTTTTTTTATAACTTGAGTGTGATTTGATATTTCGAAGCAAATTCCAGTAACCTGTACATAATGTAATTTTAGATTTAGTTTGTCATTAACTATAATTGCTTATTTTGTATGCATTACTTGCAAGATTGTAAGCATAATATAAATTTTATACTTACGGCATGTCCAGATACTTAATATTTTTAATGTGCCAAAGTTATGTTTTAATAGTAGTTTTCACAATTTTATAAATAAAGTTGTGTAGGATTATTTTTAGTAATGTGTAGTGTGTGTTTTATTAAATTATATCACAAATATTAGATAAATGCAAAATAGTTAAAGTTGGCAATTTACTTTATAATTGCTTGGACACCTTTTTATACTATTCTTGTTTCGTCCATTGATTGACAAGGGAAATTTGAGAAAGTGGATAAATGTATATTTTTAGTTGCAGAGCTCCATAAGAAACAGAAACGGATCAACGATTGATCTTGTTTTCAGTAAGAAGGTAACTCTTAAGTCTTACACATTTGATCTGGTTTATTTCTTCAAAGATTAAATCTTCATCAATCAGGCAGAACATGTTCATATTATCTAGTTACTGTAAATCAACATGCTAATCAGTTTTTTCTATTCCAAATAGAACAAGGAATGCAAAACTGACACTTGACACATGTCTGATTACTGTATCAGGCTATCCACCAGTGATTACCATGGTTTTGAAAATGTTTCCTTTTTTATTATTATTTCAATGACTTGCCCTCAAAATAGGAAATATTTCAAACACTTATAGTGTTCTTAGGTTATGGGTTTCAAAAAATAAATGACTTGTGGTTTAGTTTTTGATATATCTGCTGCAATGTGAAATTGAGGTCTAGGAAGTGGGCTTGTCTGTGGCTTTCTTAATCTAATCTAACGGTTAAACTATATTGGTTGTTATTTGACTTAATTTTCTATATAATCAAGATATCAACATAACATTTGTAGAGGATAAACTTACACAATTTATGTAGAGTTTTAGATTCCAATGATCTAATTACCAGCTTGTAAATGTTTTCTGAAAGACTGGCCATTAGAATCCTCCAATACATATAACGGATCATATAATACAAAAACTGACCAGTGACACTATCTGTATTATATGATCCAGTCTATGTTTCATTTGAATAATCTTTACATATAATAAGAGTGTTTCTTTGTACTTACCTTGCATCTTTGAACATTAAAAAGTCAAAGAATATTTTTTTTCCAAGAGTCCATATAAAATTTATGTAAAATGTTAATGCTTTTGTCTATCTATGGATTATATGGATTAAATTAAAATTTTGCACACTAGTTTTAGTAGCAGTGTTTAACCTGTTAGGATCAGAGACATATTCTTAACTAAAATACAGTGGCCAGATTTTTGTACCTCAAAGCAGGACAGATACTTGAATGTGTTGAGTGTCAAAATGCTGAATAATCTGGCACTGATGACACTAGATGAGATGAGTGTTACCATCTTCATTTCAAAGCTATTTACTATAGCAATGCATTCTAACGTATACTTGATTTCATACTAATATTTGCAAAATAAATAAATTTTATTCCACTAATTTAGGGTTTACCCTAAATTAATGGGATATGATTCCATTCATTACACAAATGTATGAGATTATACAAATGAAGTACTGTACTAGCTGTGAAGTGTTCAGATAGCAGTTGAAGTTTAATGCAACTCAACTCTTTAAACTCATAATAACTGAAACAATATAGAAAATATAACACTAAATAAAAAATTTCTCTTACTACTTCACGAGCCTAATAGATTTTAAAAGAAAGATTAGCATAAAGATGTTTATTGGATGGCCAATAGCAAAGTTGTAGCAATATTTTTTGGCTCCCATGGCAATGCATTAGTTTTTTTAGTGCATAAATGCTTGCAAGGCATGAGGGATGCCAAGAGATCCTCACCCCTTGGCACTTACCCCATTGCTACAACTTTGGCCAATAGACATTCATGTCCATTGACTGTAAACAATTTACTCCACTCAATATATTAAATACTTCATTCTCACTATATAAATTTACACCTTTTGTCTTCTGTATCTGCCAAACAAGATTTTCCCATCTGGATTTCCTGACCTTTTGGTTGGTTAGGCCACCTAATTTAAATGAAAAGCTCTGTTTGAGCTGAGTAGAAATGTAGAATAGGACCAAGGCTATTTAGGAGACGTCAATTTTGGAACTTTTGGATGTTTCTGGCTTATTCTAGACAAGAAACAAGACAATATCATCTTCCAAAATTATGATCTCTCAATCTAATTTAGCCAATCTCAGACTTTCACTTCCTTTACGAGCTCTACTGGAAAGAAATAGTCTTGCCTAAGCCTGTATTAGTACACACCAATTGTAAGTTTCATATATATATTGTGTAAATTTATGTCAAGCAGAAAAGTCACAAGTTCCAACACAGAAATCCATCGTCGAATTTTGTACTCCAGAAAAATAATTCTATCCAATTCAAGGTCTTAACCCATGCCATTTTTTTTTTTCCAATTATTTTAATTTCAGTAAGCTCTTATCATCTGAAATTAAAATAATCACAAGAAATTAGACAATACTAAAAGATGCTGACAATAATAAAGATGTGTTAACAACTTGTGTGTGTTGGCATCTATTTCATTTAATATTTCAGGATGGGGGTAATGATGATGAAACAAAATTTTGCATGGTAACTTGTGTATAAGGGACATTGATGCTATTAAATTTTGGTGGTTAAAGGTCAAGAGGATGGGGAGATAGATGGGAGTTGTGTATAAATATCTCAATAGGAATTGGACTTAATTACAGTTTTACTTCAATTTCATCCTCTGTTAAATTCGCTACTACTAAAATGTTTGAAATTAAAAAAATAGAAATCACACAATACCAAATCTGGTGAATATGATGGATGATAAATGATTGTTGATTTTCTTCAAGCTAATAATATAAGTGTCTTCTTGGCAGTGTGTGATGATGGATTATCATGATGCAAAATTTGACCTCAAATTTTCAATGACTCCAGAATTCTAGGAAGACAAATTGTAGTGTACCAATTAACTGTTACTGTCTTCTGTTCATCAAGCTTAATTGCTTTTGCCAGACTACTGCTACAGAAAAAAAACAGCAAATATGACTTTATTACTCTCTGTCTTTTCACAGTTGTTGGAATTGGATCATCTTTATGGAATCATACCTGACTTTCTTGATGTGCGAGACACTCATAAAATGGTATGTCTCATCACTTGTGACAATCTTGGAAATAATCTGATACCCACCTTAGTTCAACATTTCCAGAGTTTTTTTTAGAGATTCTGACATGCTCTGACTTAGAAATTTGTCAACTCATGGAGACACTACGTTTTTAATCATAACTCCTTATGTAGAATGTCTGCAACTGCAGATGCTCCAATCTGTAGCCTCTCCTGTATTATTTCATAGGTACATCTTTTTGTCTTCTGCATTTATACATTGGACAGCAATTACATTTTTAGGGGTTATACTTCCTACCACATGGTTCATCATGGTAGGAAGTATAACCCCTCTGAAATTTTTTGTACCACCTGAACACAATAGTAAAGAATGGAGCATCATACCCAAAAACCAATTTCAATCATTTATGTGAGGCAGGGACCTCACCCTCCTCCCGACAGGAAACTGGCTGTCCAGCTAAAGCCAATAAATGTGTGACTTTTCATAAACAAGACCGGAGCTGCAGAAGAACGGAATGTGATATGATTTAATTGTCGCATTTCTGGACCAAATTCACATGCGCCCGGTTGTATATCGTGGAAGTGAGAGAGTGCCCGCATGGGAGAGGTCCACGGTCATCGCACACAGAGTTCAAAGCAGGAATTTGTGGACCCTCCTTCGGAGGGGGCTACAGTTGGGACCAATTGGACCCAGTTGCACCTTCTCTGAGTCAGAAAAACACACAGACCAAAATTTACGGGAAGGGCACGACCCAACTTCAGAGGGGAGCGGCCCGAATTGCATTCCTGGCAACAGACCAGGGACCAATAGAGTTACACCGTAGGGGACCACCGTTTGGACCAACCAAAAGGCAGGATTTCGGGTAAAAATCATATAAAAGCCCGAAATGGGAAGCATGAATCAATTATACAGTAATATAATCAACTCGTTATATAAATAGATATTATATCTATTTATAATCTAATATATCTATCTATAATCTTATATCTATATAATACAGTCGACCCCCCTATAAGATCATTGATTTTTCCGTTTTATCTGAATTACATGTTGTACGAGTCACTTAGATTTTACAAATATGTGAGCCATTCACAGTCCGGCACACGTATTTGTAAAATCTAAGTGACTCGTACAACATGTAATTCAGATAAAACGGAAAAATCAATGATCTTATAGGGGGGTCGACTGTATA